CGGCCAGGGCAACACACTTCTGTAATCCTAGCTACTCAGGAGACTTAGGTAAGAGGATCACTGTACTGGGCAATTTATGGAGCCCCTATCTTAGAATAAAAAGGGAGTGGCTGGGTGTGTAGCTCAATGCTTCAGCTCCTGGGTTCAGCTCCCAGTGTCACAAAAAGATAATGCTTATCTTCTTATATCCAGGGCTGCCCAAATGTCTGCCAAAAATGTGATCTCTTTCTTTGTAAGTGCATTCTCTGCATGTTTTAGAGCCTTCTCTTGAACTCCTTGTTCTTCAATTTTATTACCATGAATCTAGTTGAGAGTTCTCTCAATTTCACTCTTGTAGCCTCAAAACTTAATGGGGCCTTACAGGCTGAAGAAATATAAAACAAACCTTATCAGCAGATCTGCATTTTACTTCTTTAATTTTGTCAATTTTCCCCTTCTTCAACTTCTCATCTTATTGGATGAATTTTAGAACATCTGGATCTTTCATGTCATTTAACTTTTCTTTCATATTTTTCATTTTTCTCTCTTTTTATGTGGCTTTAAAGGACAATTTCTAGCTTGATCTTTCAGCTTATTTTTTTCCTTATATATGTTATTCTATCCTAGTTTCAGCCTTGTTGATTTTTTAATAACACATTTTACATTTTCATGATCTTTAAATATTCTTATATTATCCTCTCCTAGATCTCTGAGGATATTAAATACACTTATCCTGAGGTCTCTTCTAGTAACAGTTTCTTTGGGCTCTACTTTCATTAAGTTTAGTGTCACTGATTTAATAACAGAATTCAGATCTATTCCAATTTCATTTAGGTCCTATATTGGACTAATATTCCAGTGAAATTTCCCAATCTATTGCTTTATCAGAGACAAATTTATAGCTGGGCATGGTGGTGCACACCTGTAATCCTAGCATTCAGGATGATTACTGTGAGTTCAAGGCCAGCCTGAGCTGCAAAGTATGTTCAAGCCAGCTTGAACTGCATAGTGAAACCGTGTTTCAAAAATTAAAAAAAACAAAACTGCTTTTCTGCAGGTGTCAGGGAAGAAGATTTCTCCTAAAATTTCTGATGATCTTGCCTATGTGCTCATCTTTGTACTGGGGGATTCCTGTGCTCAAGTTGCCTGTATATGAAGGATGGCAAATAATACTGGACTTTTACAGTAATCTTTTCATGATGAGAGTGCTTCTCTTACCTACCATATATGTTTTTATTTCTTTCTCTTTGCCCCCACACACTGATGGCATTAAACACTTTTGTGGCTTGTTATAGTCTTCCAGGTAGGAAAAGGGTAGATATAAATAAGTCTTATCTGCTACTCCTGCTGTGGTACCCAAATAATGATACTATCAGTTGTCCCGAGACTAACTCTTGTTCCTAGAATCTGCTATGAAGTATGGATCATTTTCTGGTTCACTCCTATCTTCTGCAAAACTCCTCTGTTGCATTCTTTATTCTTACTTCACCTGCCATCGTTTTGTCCATTTCCTATCATTCCTAGGAATTTGGTGTTGAAGATGGGAAGTGTTATGGTTTGTGTCTGGATGTCTCCCCAAAGCCTCATGCAGTCATGGGGCGGGCTTTTAGAGTTTATGATTGATCCATGATCCAATGCTGGGATTATGCGTGTGAGTGCTACATCCGCCCTAGAGCAGATAGTTTGCATATGTAAGTAAGGGAGAGAAAGAGGCTGTTTGCCGCTGCTCCTCCCTTTTGCTCTTGCTGCTTTTGCTGTCTTCATCCACCATCAACTGTTGCCCTCTGCCATGTGTCACTCTGCCATGGAGCCAGCCAAGTGTGGACTGAAACCTCCACAAACTGTAAGGTAAATAAACCTTTCCTTCCTTAATTCTGGGCATCAGGTATTTTGTCTGTGCAATGAGAGAAAAGTAACCAAGACAGAAAGAATGCAACATACCTTTCAGTACACTATCTTGAATCAGTAGTTATATTCACTTGTGTGTTAGAACATGACAAACTTGCATGACATTCAAAATCTACTGCCGACATCAACATTAAACTAAATGTTTATTGTCAACCATTAATCTAAGTATCATTATATGAATTTGCTCATTTATCCTTCATAAAATATTTTCAGTAAGCCTTACTATTATTCCCAATATTAAGATGAGGAAACAAAATAAGAAATATCTTCTCTGATACTACTGAGAAAGCAGAGCCAAATTACACACCAGCTGTCTCTCTCAGCAGCCCGCCCTGTTTACTCACACACTATACAGTGGCCCACCCAGGAGAATTTAGGGGCACATCAGCGTTGTACACTGCCAGAAAAAAACTTTCAAATGTATTTATTTTGAAGAAAACATGTTTGCTCCCTTACTTAAAAACATCAGCAATAAGGCATTTCCCCATAGTTAACTTGCAGGACCTTTGATTCTGTATCTGCTGTGCGGCCCAATAAGAAGAAAATGAATTTGGAAATAAACAGACAAAAACTTTATACTATCTGCCACTGGTCTCAGTAAGGGACCGTACATAGTCTTTGGTAAGCATTTTTTGTGTGTGTTTGAGAAGTCGTCTTATGATGTAGTTTAGACTGGATTTGATGCTCTAGGTTTAACCCAGCACGGCCTGAACCAAGACCACGCTTCTGCTTTTTCCTAACGCTGAGGGACAGTAAACACAGCCGAAAAGCTGACACAGCTGCTCTTAATGGAAATGTAGGCGGCTCTGAAAAGAGCCTTTTAAGTTACTTAATGAACGATGTGTTTAGAATTAAAGAAGTTTGCTCTAATGTAAGATGCTTTGGGAAGTAACCCTCAAGGCACTAGAAATCTAGGAAAGCTCCACTAGTTAAGAAAGGAAATGAGCTCCAGGGTGCAAGGGTGACCATGCTGATGCCTTGCTGACCATATTACTGATCAACAGTCATCAGGTACCTAGAATGCTCCCAGCACTGGGCTCAGTGCTTTCAGCACCTTGTCTCATTTAATCCTCCTTCAAGACGGACCTGCGCTTCCAGAGCTCGGCCGTGATGGCGCTGCAGGAGGCCAGCGAGGCCTACCTGGTGGGCTTGTTTGAGGACACCAACCTGTGCGCCATCCACGCCAAGCGTGTCACCATCATGCCCAAGGACATCCAGCTGGCTCGCCGCATCCGCGGGGAGCGGGCCTAAGTCGTTCATTAATCTTCATAACAAGCCTAAGAGGTAGGCTCTGTTATTTTTCTCATTTTCACAGAGGAAGAAACTGGGGATTAGAGAAGAAACTTTGCCAAGGTCATTCAGTTCTCAGGCGGTGAATCTGGGGCTGGAGGCGGATGCTCAGTGCAGTGCAGCACTCACCCTCCAGCAAGAACACTGTGAAACGCTAAGAGGAGAAATGGGCAAAGCCGGGAGAACCAGGGTCACTGTTGTGAATGTTGCAGATATAGCTCTGGTGTGACATTAAGAATCATCTCCATCTCTACTGCCTCTGAGCTGCCTGCCAGCATGCTGTGTGCTCCTATGGGAGCCAAGGTTACCTGAGTTCCTTCTCCTATAGCCTCTTCTATATCCAGATAAGGTAATCTTGTCAGAATCAAGGAACAATACAGAGTGAGTATATATGGGGGAAGTTACAACCATTATGGTCCACAAACCTGCTTAGAACCCTCACAGTATAAAACATTGCATTTTTAAAGATCTTCACTTAAGTTACTTAGAAGCAGTACGAAGAGCAGGATAGACAGACACAAACCATCTGAAACCCCCTAAAAGAGCCAAAGGATTATAAATGGGCATTGCAAGGAAACTTAAAGAACACAGTTACAATCCCTTCATTTGACAGCATAAGATTAAGGAGACTCAAGATGTGACAGTGGTCAGTGAATTTAATCCCAAATCCCTACTTACTTAAATTATTTCAGGTTCCATATTGCTGACTGCTGTCACCAGTATGGAAGTCATATACTCTAACCTTTCTTGGTTCTGACAAGCACTCAGTTGAGTGCTTTTACCCTGGCCTCTGGTCTGGCAGTCATCAGACAAAGAGGACTTAAGTGAGAATCTAAAATTTCCAATGAAAGAAGTAATATACAGCACATTTTATTTGACTTTTAATTGAATATAAATTTGAATTCCTGTGTTATAAAATCACCAATTAAATTCACTTTAAACACAAAGTTGCCATGTAAATTCCTCGTTTATCCAGAATGGATTCATTTTGGTGGGGTGAGATGGCACACATTTGCAAGCCCAGCTATTCTGAAGGTTGAGGCAGAAAATCACAAGTCTGAGGACGCCTAGACAATTTAGTGAGATCTTGTCTCAAAGTAAAATTTTAAAAGCTGGGGATGTAGCTCAGTCATAGAGCACTTGCCTAACATATGTTCAGGTCCTGAGTTCAATCTCCAAAGCTCATCAAGGGAATTGTAAACTACGATTGCACCGAGTAGATTTAATTGGTAAAATAAACATACGCTAGCCTTTGTTCAGATGAGTCAAAGTTTTGAACTGAGTCTTCAGAAATTCAGTCCACATTAACTATATGGGCTTTTGTGTACCGTAAATTCCTTCTTCACTCATCCTCAAATGGCTTCCTTTCTCTCATTTCTCACTCAAGGGCTCTGACTCAGCCCCGGTTAACATTTGAGGATCTGACATGTAGGTAACAGATACATATACCTCCAAAACCTATTCACACACACATTAAAAATCACCTTCCCGGACCCACTTCCAACCTGACTTAAGAAATTTCATGAGAAGCATCTTTAGCGACTGAGGCCATGCTTAGAATGAGGAAAGTTTGTTAAAGAACGAAGACAGGTCCTTGCCCTGGGAGGAGACGGTTTCCTTGTGTACAATCACCTGTAAATCATCACAGTAAGTCTATAGAAAGTTCAGTTTTCTCCCAGTACAAACACACAGGTTGGATGGCGTTGAGGAAAGGTTTGACTAAACTGAGGATTAGGCCAGATTTGATGGTTCATCCCCCTAAGACCAACACTCTACCTACCCAAGACATGATAATTTGCAGAACAATGAGCCGGAGAACAATATGCTGATTAATTTATCAATTTATTGTACATATTGGATTAGGCCCAGTAAGGGAGCAAACACGTTTTCTTCATGTTCAAAATCCAGCTCAAAACCAGCTTGGACTACATACACAGCAAGACTGCGCCTCAGAAATCTAAGAAAATAAATGGGGATTACATTCTAACAGGTAGGGAGATCTTTGCGCCCTGGGTCTTCATCTCTGTACGGGGATCAGTATTATTTACAAGGCAGTCCTTTGCGGGACTATCCTGTGCATTAAAGATGCTCAGTATTTGTAGCTTCTACCCTTAGATGCACCCCTCCCACACGATGCAATGGAAGTAACTCCTGCTGTGTCTAAGTGTTCCACGGGAGTGAGGGCAAAGGTGCCCTGATTGAAGTCACTGGGATAGAAATCAAGGGAGCATGCCCAACTCAATTTGTAGACACGCAAGTTTGTGACACGCCTACAGGCGGAAAAAGAAACATTGAAACACAAGAAATACGAAATGGAAAAATTTAAGACTTTCCACACTAAAGAAAATAAATCCCAGCTTGTAAACTATTTTCGAAAATGTAACCAATCTGGAAACGCAAGAGGAAGAGCGTCCCAACTCTGCCACACACCTCACCTCACCTTCCCGGGGACGGGGAAAAAAAAAAAAAAAAACGCTCGAGAGGTATGATCAAACCTATTTTCTGCTCAGTTTCCGTATCATTTGCTAATAAGACTCATTTAACTAAATGACACCACTAAATTACATTACAGGAAGCCCACAAAATGTACTCTTGGCCATGATCTCATCCTAAACAAAAAACAGTGGATGGTCAGTGTTTACAGCCACTCTCTCCGGCGAATGAAGTGGCTCTGAAAAGAGCCTTTGGGGAATAGTTCATCTGTCGCGTTCCTTACTTAGAGCTGGTGTACTTGGTGACCGCCTTGGTGCCCTCGGACACGGCGTGCTTGGCCAGCTCGCCGGGCAGCAGCAGCCGCACGGCCGTCTGGATCTCGCGGGACGTGATGGTCGAGCGCTTGTTGTAGTGCGCCAGGCGCGACGCCTCGCCGGCGATGCGCTCGAAGATGTCGTTCACGAAGGAGTTCATGATGCCCATGGCCTTGGACGAGATGCCGGTGTCGGGGTGCACCTGCTTCAGCACCTTGTACACGTACACGGAGTAGCTCTCCTTGCGGCTGCGCTTGCGCTTCTTGCCATCCTTTTTCTGCACCTTTGTTACAGCCTTCTTCGAGCCTTTCTTAGGAGCAGGGGCAGACTTCGCCGGATCGGGCATCTTCCTCGCTTGCACAACAGCTACAATCGCCAACAGGAGCGATCGCGGACTACATCGTCAGCGACCGGTTGCGCTATACTTATAGAGCTCATATGCAAATGAGGGTTCCAAAAGTGCTGCGTCTGTATTGGTTAATTTAAACCAATGTCGTCATAGAAGGGTGGAGACTATGTAAATAAGGTTCTGGTTGCTCTTCCTTAGTGGTTATTAGGACAAAAGTCATACTGACCAATCAAACTGTTCCACTGCACATCGACCAGTAAATTACGTAGAGCAGTGATTTCACCTGTTCAGGGTCATTTTCGTTAGTTTTCATATTAGATTGATTTATGTATGTAATTCTTAAGTACAAAATAAGCTAGCTTCTCTATTTTTGTATATAAATACCAGCAGGAATTCACTATTCTGGCTCCCAGCATTGTATTATGTAACGAATACCAAGCTATAAACCAACTGTATGCAAATTCCTAAATACAAAAAGAGCTTCTTTCAAGGGTGACTCCTCTCGACTCCGGCCCCAGGGCCTCACACCTCTCGATTCAGGACATCTCTGGCCGCCCATAAAAAATTTCCCCTTACAATACTGATAAACGTTGCTCTAGGTTTAACCCAGCACGGCCTGAACCAAGACCACGCTTCTGCTTTTTCCTGTGCATACGACTCAAGATTGAGTACACACATCCCATACCACCTTCGCAGTGCTCCCGATTTCTCTGCGTGTAACGCTGAGGGACAGTTAACACAGCCGAAAAGCTGACACAGCTGCTCTTAATGGAAACGTAGGCGGCTCTGAAAAGAGCCTTTTAAGTTACTTAATGAACGACTTAGGCGCGCTCCCCGCGGATGCGGCGAGCCAGCTGGATGTCCTTGGGCATGATGGTGACGCGCTTGGCGTGGATGGCGCACAGGTTGGTGTCCTCGAACAAGCCCACCAGGTAGGCCTCGCTGGCCTCCTGCAGCGCCATCACGGCCGAGCTCTGGAAGCGCAGGTCCGTCTTGAAGTCCTGCGCGATCTCGCGCCCCAGCCGCTGGAAGGGCAGCTTGCGGATCAGCAGCTCGGTGGACTTCTGGTAGCGCCGGATCTCGCGCAGCGCCACGGTGCCCGGCCGGTAGCGGTGCGGCTTCTTCACGCCGCCCGTGGCCGGCGCGCTCTTGCGGGCCGCCTTGGTGGCCAGCTGCTTCCGCGGGGCCTTGCCGCCGGTCGACTTACGGGCGGTCTGCTTCGTCCGGGCCATGACTCCCTTGTTTCGACCAAGGAGCTGTGGGCAGTCTTATTTATAGACATAGCCTTGTCTTGATTGGGCCAGAAAGGAGGAATTTGTAGAGCTCTCCCATTGGCTAAAACTCGATCCTATTTACTGAGGCAAAAGATTGTTACGCTAACCTTTCTCTTATTTCTTTCCCCCTTCTTTTTCTATAATTTATATATCCAAGGAAAGTTTTTTGAAGACCTTTCCTCTAAGTTGATGTACATTTTATAAAAGAAATTATAAACTGTTTTGCATATTTTATATTTTAACAGGTTTCTTCTAAAAAACAGCATGCACTTCTATGAACTAGGGTTCAGCTTGATTCAAGTCACTTGTTCCTATTTAACACTTCTCCCATATCTAACATTTATTTAGCATCTGTCCCTGTGCTCCACACTTAAATGTATTACATGGTCACTGAAGCAGAATAAAACAATATTAGTAAAAAGATTAAAAAATTAAACTTGCCGTTATCTGATTTCTGACCCCGACCAACGCCCATTTTGTCTGCGTGCTACTGACCAACTTGACACTAGGGGCTCTGCCCTTCTTTAGCCTTTCCCCCTGGAATGAGGCGTCCTCCTTCTCACCCCTTCGTCAAAGGTCAGTTAGGGCCTGCATATGGAATGCTTCAGTCAAAGAAGGATGAGACCAGAAATATTAATTTCTCCTTTACAATGAGGAATGGTTTCTAGTCAGGTCCTTATTAGCCATAGGACACGTTGAAATAAAGTTTCAAAGCAAATGTTTCATCAACTCTGAGTTACTCATATTTTCTTCGGTAAATATAAAATGTTTTCTATTATGTAAAGTTTAATATTTTCTATATTTTCAATAAGGACAGTAGCAATCCTTTGCCTTTTATTCTATATGCCTTGTAAAGGCATTACTAATGATGTAAAAGTTGTACTAGTTTGCATAAAACTTTTGACTGCATGCTTGTTTTCTTGAGCATTATATACAACCTTATGAAAGCATTATATACAACCTTATGAAAACTCAAACTTAACAAAAGCAGACCCAAGAGGCTTAAAACTAACCTTGAGAGTGACAGTATGATTGTCTTCCTACTAAAATCAAAGTAAAAGAAAAATGATTTTAAGAGGTTTTCCTGAACAACGTAAAGAATTGTTAGCTTAATTAGTATCTTCAAGAATCTCAAGAGCCGATGCAGGCTCCTTGAAGGAGTTCGAACTCGACATGCAAAAGTGTGACTGATGTGAACAAATGCAAGCCCTTCCTGTGGTGGTTTTCTGGCAAAGCCCACACTGGAAAGTTTGAAAGTTCCAACTGTACTGTATTGTTTAATGCTGACTTCGTGAAACAGGTGTAAGTTGCCTCACTTTACAGGTAGAAAAACAGACTCAGAAATTATGGCTTGTCCTGTGTAAATAAAAATGCTACGTAATACTGTAAACCAAAATATTGAACTTATAATGAAGAATTTCCTATTTCATTATTACTGTGTTAACTTACAAACTTTACCATAAGTATACATGGTTTATGGCCAGAGCACTGTTCACATGGGTTTCAGTACTGTTTGTAGTCTGAGTCGTCTTGGAACATCTGCTGAGGATAAGAGGAAACTGTTCTATTCAAATAGAGAACCCAAGAGTCATAAGATTTTGCTTTTATAACATAAATAAGAAAATTCCAAGAGTCTGCCTCTGATTTTTTTTTTAATTATAAGAATATCTACTCAGGAAGCAATTATGTCAATTTAAATATTTACTCATGGCAACAATTTAAATAAAATTATCAACCGACGTAGTAAACTTTCAATGATTATAGGTAATGTTTGTCAGAATACAAAAACTTCTGATAAGAAGAAATCTTCTTTAATAACAGTTCAGTCCCCAAATTAGACTGTAGAGTAGTATTTCTATGAAAATTTTTGATCTACTATTTATCAGAAGTAGGTTTGTGGTACAGAAAAGCCTTTGCTGTTCTGCAGCTATGGGGAAAAAGAACTAGTTCTAAAATTTCTTAATTTCTTTCTGAGTTACTCATATTTTCTTCGGTAAAGATAAAATGTTTAACTTTCATAAAATATTTACTTTCATGAGAAATTATAAGGGTTTGCACTTTGAATTTTACTAGCTATGGAGGGGTCTGGGGGCAAGTGGACAGGTAAGAGAAGCTTCAGATTTTACAGGTTATAAAAAAGAAAATTTTAATAAATGAATTGTTAGGTATGTAATGTACGTGTATTTATTTTTAATACAAAAGTAATAAACTAATTTAAAATAGATGTTACTGGAGGATAGTTTATACTTCATTTTTGGCTTCAGGGTTTTCCCAAGATCGTATTCCAAACTCAGACCATTTGAATCTGATTTGTCTGTTGGCCAGGTCTACTTCATGATTTCCTCTCATTTTAACTGATTTGCAGCCCTGGACCAAACTCAGAAGCCATAGGCTTTTGAGATTCTTTCTTACCCAATTTTGAGATAAATTCACTTATTCAATATCCTGCATCACTGGATAAAAACTTCGCATCATTCTCCTTTCTACCTGAGACAGGAAGGTAAGGTGTGGCTAAAACTGGCTGGGAAAGGAATCGCCAAGATCCTTGGAACACAGCTCCCTGCACGTGGACTTCTCTCCAGAACTCCAGTGGGTTTTCTTCCATAAGACGGCCTTGACCAGACGTCAGCCTGAGGTGTGGGTGATACAAAAAAGTCAGGCCACATTGAGATTTTGCCACTGTGTTTGCTCTTGCATGGTGGCTCGTCCTCATGGTGTAGAGTATACTTCTTTTCCTACTTTTATTTGGCCCAAACTCACTCTGCAGACCCTGTTTGTCCTATCTTTAATACAACTTTGCTACTATCTGTGCTTGTCTTGACCAATTTTTTTTGCTCAAGATAGAAAGAACCTAGAAACCACTTCCAGAAGGAGACTCCAGCACCCCAAAAGCTGGTAATATATTGATCCTTAATGCTTACTGCCAGTACAGTACCGCTTCAAATTTATACAATTTCTGGCTTTATTCCTTAACATATTCCACTATAATATACAAGAATGAAATAACAAATTCTACTTCAGAGGTATACAAAGTTTTATTCCACTAGCTATTCTTGAGGAATATTCTAGGCTATACATAGTAAATACATTAAAAATTATATTCTAAGAACTTTTCTGTACAAATTGTGGGCAATGAAAATTTTTTTCTTCAACCTTCATAGGTTCTTAGAACTGATCCTATGACCAAAAGTAGATCAATAAGAGAAAGGCAAAGCCAGGCGTAGTGGCACACACCTGTAATCCCAGCATTCAGGAGGCTGAGGCAGGAGGATGCACCACAAGTTTGAGCTCACCCTGGACAAGCAAGACCCCATCTCAAAAAAAAATGAAAAGAAAAGCAGTGATTTTTAATATGTACATTTTAATAGAGCATACATATTTCAAAGTTACTTTTCTCATTGCTGAGACAAAATACCTGACACCCAAAGTTAAAGGAAGAAAGGTTTATTTAGCCCAGTTTATAGAGGTTTCAGTTCAGTTCATAGTTGGCTGGCTTCAAGGCAGGGTGGCATGGCCGAGGGGCATCACAGAGGAGAAACAGTTCATGGCAGGCACAAAATAAAAAGGCAGCAAAGCAGTAAGACAGCAAGGAAGTAAGTGGCAATAGCAGCCTTCTTTCTGTCCCTTATATTCTACCCAGGCTACACGCCCTTAAGGCTCACACCCAGGGTGAGCCTTCCCTTTGCCCTCAAAACTATGCCAAAACAATCAGTGGACTAATTTAACAATCACATACGCTTAATCTTGCATCACACACTCTAGACCCAGCCACCTCGGAAAATCCCCACATGAGGCTTTGAGGGGACATCTAGACACAAGACATAACATATATGCAGCACCCCAAAGATGAGTAACTCAGAGATGATTAAAATTTGGACTTTATGTTCCTAAGTTAGTAGAGGAAAGAGAGAAAAGAAGATTTATGACTGGTTCAGTATGGTACCATCTTCTCATCTCCAAAAAGAGGAAATTGGGGTTGTTACCACAGATCTATAACAACTGAGTTAAAATGTCAAGTTCTTTTGGGAGTCTCTGCTTTCAGACAGATAAAGAATTTCAGAAACTCAAATGCCCCTGGCTCAAAATGTTTCCTATGTCCAAAGTGGCATATTTGGGGGTAGCATATCATGATCCCCTCCAAAAGAAACACTGGCTCCAATTCCACTGAGGGTCCTAGCCCCCTAATACCAAAAAAAAAAAAAAAAAAAAATCACTTCTGCCTGCTCGGCTTGTGGTTGTTTTTATGGTGTTGCAATTTGGTTCAGTCTTCCTTACCAGTGTTTAAACGTAGTCACATGCAGGAACTGTTCCTTCTGTAGATGACTAATGAGCCTATACAGGACTCAAGCAGCCGGGAGAGAAGAGACCTATCGTGAACTCTAGGGTGTAGCACATAGATGTGTGAGGCTTGGTGGTCCCGTCACTGAATAGATGACAACTATGCCTGGGGCCAGGGATGAGTCTTTTCACACACTGATTTTAAGTTTAAACATCTTGATTTTTACTCATCTTGAGCTTTGAGTTTTAAATAACTGAGGAACCACCAAATGTATCTCCATGTCTGGAGCCTATACATCTGGATAAAAATCTGGGATTCAGCAGCTTACAGAAAGAAAATAGCTAATGCCAACGGAGAAAAGGAAATGAGATTTCCTTAAAACATTTTTCAGGAAAAAAGTTATTTCTGATGCAAACATCAGAACTTTTTATAGCTTCTCCCGCACAGGGCCTTGGTAAAACAATGAACATGCTCACCAGTAAGACCCTCAACCCGTTTCGTAGGGCAGTTTCGGGCAGTGCCTTTCGGTATAGAACAGGTGTCCTTCTGCAAAACCCAAAGCAGCAAACTTTGCTAGCAGGGAAGGGGCCGGTGCTCAGTCAGGACAGTTTGGACACTGAGTGCCGGCTGAAAATAGGACGGCTTTGAGAGGATCTGTGGAAATGGATTGCAGACTCTATCTGCTCTATGCGTTGTACAGTACATTCAGCAGAACTTCGGACGGCGTGCATGGGGATTCACTGACCTCCACGAGACGGCTTGGCAGTATTCTGACACCAATTTTCCTAGGGTCCGAAGTCTGACTGAGTTGAAATATGGTGCCTATTGGAACTAACAAAAGTGACTAAACTCAGAAATTACAGCGAGCTTCTCCCTCCCTGCCCGCTTCCACCTGTACCCAGGAAGCCACTGCTTTCGCTGCTCTGCAGCAGCGCTGGGAATTCTCTGGTTTGTAAGATTCGGCGCAGGCGAATCTTCCGCGCACCTCTGAACTCACATTTGCCCTTCCTCTTTCTCGCACCAGACCGTTCCGTTTATCCTCAACTTATTGTCTTCCGGAAGCCCAGGCGTTGAAACAAAGGCTGCGGAATCTGGAAGCTGTGTTGGATCTAAATTCTCCCAGAGACCACGGCGCACCAGTTATTGAAAGGCAGAACGAAAGGAAGGGGTTGAGAAGAGACAGGAAAAAACCAGAATGAGAAAAGCAACAGTCAGAGCGCCTGCAGAGGACAGCGGAGAGGGAAACAAAAGAAACAAGAGGCGGCGAGGGGGCGGGGCAACCAGGCTGCTTCCCGCCTGCGCCCTTCCAGTCCTCAATCTGGTCCGATCACCGTCTATATCCTCAGAGAGCCACGTTCTGCTGCGGCAGGGAGAGTTTTCAGTCGAGAGACCATGTCTGGCAGAGGGAAAGGGGGCAAGGGTCTAGGCAAGGGCGGTGCTAAGCGCCATCGCAAGGTTTTGCGAGATAACATTCAGGGCATCACAAAGCCGGCAATTCGGCGTCTCGCTCGCCGTGGTGGCGTCAAACGGATCTCCGGCCTCATCTACGAGGAGACGCGAGGTGTACTGAAGGTGTTCCTGGAGAACGTCATCCGTGACGCTGTCACCTACACCGAGCACGCTAAGCGCAAGACGGTCACTGCCATGGACGTGGTCTACGCGCTCAAACGCCAAGGCCGCACTCTGTATGGCTTTGGCGGCTGAGTCTGCCTTGTCCACACTCTCAACGGCCCTTTTTAGGGCCACCCACGCAGTCATCAGAAGAGCTACTCACTTTCCGTGGCGGGAGTGGTAATGTACAACCGGGAAGGGAGGGTTCCTAGAATGCTGATTGCACCGGGGTTTGCTACGGGCGGCCGTTTCCCTTGCCCGCCGGGCCGCTTTTGCATAGAATAGGCTCTACCAGAGGGGCGTTGTCTTGTGACTGCAGGGCCTGGCAGAGGGCAGTAGGCTCTACGCAAATAATACTTAGCACCATGCACAAGCAGCTCTACACCTGCCGTCCAGTTTTCTATCGGGTTCTTCACCCTTAACCACCAAAAAGGGAACCAGGTCCTTCAGGGCTTGTTAGTATCACATTGCATTTTGTGATGGCGCATGCTGTTACTGTAGCTTGCAAAATCAAGCCCACTAATACTAAGTAACTCAAAAGCTTACTGGTAAGTTTTCAGATATTCTGGCAGCTTCACTGCCCAGTCAAAATTCATTGGCTTTCCGTGCTTCATAAAAAAGCTTCAGAATTTAGTCAACCCCAGGTGATGAACTTTCAGTGGCGGCACTGCAAGGGTACAGATACAGATATGTGGTCCTATAAAAATGGAACACACTTAAACTACTTAATGGTAACTCTGAAATCTCATCTTCAAGAAACGTAATTCAGGTATGTGACTCAGTGTGGCAAAGAATACAGCAAGCCAATACTCCATTTCCCTTAAACTTCCCTGATTTGAAGGTTGGCAGGTCCACCAAAACACTCGGAAGGAGGAAGTTTAACGTACTTTAGCAATGGAGCTGTCAGCAAGGGAAGGATTTAAGACGCCCTCCAGGAGCCCATCATTGGAACAGAGAAAAAAAAACAGTTCATAAAACAATGTACAAGATATAATCAGAAGATACAATTCATATTTAAATTTTTGAAAATTATTACAGTAAAAGACACATTTGCCAACAATTCCCCTGACATCAAACACACTTCTCCCATCGTTTTTGCCTCTCTGAAGCGGTTCTGGAAGTCTACTTTTGTAAATGTGTTTAGTTTGCTGTCATGAGTGCCTCCATATCCTGAATTGATTCAAAACATTTACCTTTCATGTTCATTTTGACTTTGGGGAGAAGCCAGAAATCGCATGGGTCAGATCCAGTTAGTAAGGTGAATGAGGACAATTAATGTTTTATGAGCCTGCCTTTCCATTGGGTGGCACATGGCAGCAGTATTTACTGTAGTTTTAATCACGCCTTGTAAAGACACTTATTAAAATTATAGAATATGAAGTAATGCATATTTTTGAATTAATAAATGCCTTTCTCTTAAGCATTTCAAACTATAAAGAACATAATGCTATTTTTAACCATCTGTAACAGTGGAGAGCATAATCTGTTTTATCTCTTTAGTTTGCTAACAAAAATAATTTCCTTCCCATTTGTACCTCCTGAGAGCTTTCTCTAAGCCAGCTGCTCTTTCCCTTCCACAATAAATTCAGGACTTTCCCTGGAGTAGATACATACAAATGATTAGAGTCTGTCCTACTGGTCTACTTCCATTACTGTGATCATAGAGCATTTGAGCATCTCACTGACAAATCAAACTGCACTAATGGATCACTCTGAAGTCCTACACTCCCTTCTAGGCTTTCATTTCTGACTAGCAGTAGTATCTTCGCACACACTCAAACTAGATGCTTCAGAGTCAATTTTCACTACATATTTTCATTTGAACCCATTCCTTTTATACTTTATATTCTAGCTATTGATATACATGTAATTCCTCTACTTAAGTCAAAAGAAATGAACTGGTAGTCTCTCAATCTCTCTCTCTCTCTCTCTCTCTCTCTCTCTCTCTCTCTCTGTGCGTGTGCGTGTGCGTGTGCGTGTGCGTGTGTGTGTGTGTTACCAGGAAATGAACCCAGTACTTCACATGAGCTACATCTTTGGCCTCTAAAATTTTTTATTTTGAGAAAGTCTTGTTAAGTTACCTAGGCTGGGCTTGAATTTAGGATCCTCTTGTCTCAGCCTCCCAGACTGCTGGGATTACAGGCACACTAGGATTTATGCAAAATGTTACTAACATACATAAATATATATAAAAGTATGTAGCGAATTATCAAGAAGAATGTTCACCAAAGTTAAGAATATTTATAGATATTGGTTTTACTATCCTCCCTGAACATTTCTGAATTGTTTAAATCTCTTAAGGTAAGCATGAACATAATTTACCCTAAAATAATCAGATGATAGACAGAGTCTGGATTATATCAAACATGGCAAATCTTAGTCTCTGCCAGTTACATTTCTTCATCTTTAGTGCTACTGAGAATTCCTCCCTTTCTCATAGGAATATTTCAAAGATTGAATTGAAAGACCTATGTGAGAAAAAAAAATGAAGATAAGAGTTAACATAGAAACCAAAGCAGACATATTTTGTGCCAGTGTCACCCCACCTAGTTCTTCTATGCTCTGGACTCACTAGGGGAGAAGAGGGTGTCTGTATACAGAACCTAGTGAGCAAAAAACATACTGGGCAGAGTATAAGGGAGCAGGCAAGGTCAGACTCTCAAGGTTAGACCAGAAAAACATAATCGGTCAATAAAGAAGCAAAGTGACTTCTCAGTGAATGTGACTGCTATAATGTGTGAAATGTATTACTCAAATTTTCAGAATACCCAAATGTAAATATTATCCTCATTTTATAAAGAAAGAAACTGATGTTTATGCAACTGAAACAACATGGCATTCTCTGATATACCCTGATATGCCCCTGACTTTTACTAAAATATTGTCTAAGACTTGCAGATCACAAAGAATCTAAGGATCTATTCATCTATTTGCCATATCATTTAATAGAACCATAGAACACGAGTGCTGGGAAGACCATGGACATCATGGGTCCAGTTTCCTTATTATATTTCTTCCTCTGACTTGAAGATAAAACTCTTCTCCAGCTTCCTGTGGCCATCAGATCCCTAAGTGGTGCGGGTGTCCTCAGAGGCTGGGCTCGGGCGGTGTCTTCATGCGCTCCTCCCGGCAACTGCTGGGGCGTCCTCTCCTCCTCTGGACAGCTGGGAGGGGCCAGCGGGGCCTCTAACTCTGCCTCCAGACCGCAGTCCGCTCCTGAGGGGCAGCACAGCTGGCCACCCCTCAGGAAACAGAAGGCCAGTGAGGGAGAGGGTGCCCTGTGGCCTGAAGTGAGCTCTTCAGCAGCTCCTTCTCCCGTCCCTGTGAAGGTGGTGCCCTCCTCCCAGGCACTCAGGCAGGAAGTCCAGAGTCATCTTTGATTACTTTTTGCCTCAACAGCCCTTTCTGCCCTTCCCCGACCCAGGTTCAGGCAAGTGCCCTTGTGCAATAAAGTCCACAGCTTGCTCCCGCCCCTTGCTGTGGCTGGTTCCCTCATCCTCATCCCTAGTACCCTATCCTTGTCCCTGAGGCCTGAGACTTGGCTTCTTTCCCTGGATGCTACTCCTTTTTTCTCATTCCATTGGACCCTTGACCCTCAGGTTAATTGTTATACACAGTTCACATGGTGCTACCTGCCTGCTTGAAATTTTTGACACTGTGTCCCCTGGCAGTTTCTTCTTCATTTGGAAATAGGGCCTCTGTAGATATAGGAGGTTAAGGATTTCTGATGAAATCATCCTAGATGTAGGGTAGGCCTTAAATTCAATGACTGTTTATGCGAGAAACGAGAGGGACTCTGGACATTGGTGTGATGTTGGGGAGAGACTGGAGTTCTGCCACTACAAGCTAAAGACACCAGGGATTACCAGAAGGTAAAAGCAACAAGAAAAACATCCTCCAGAGCCTTTGAGCATGGTAACTTGATTTCAGACCTCTGCTGCCTCAAATGTTGCAATAAACAAGTTGTTGATGGTCACTTATTCTAGCATTTCAGGAAACTAATGCAGCATCGTCACAACACTCTGGGTGTAAGCTTCCCTCAAGAGCATGAAGCGTTTGCCTCTGCTGCTGTCAGCCCACAGCAAGACCAGCCAGTGGCCTGTGGGGTATCACTTAGGGTTCCCTTGAGGGACAGATTTAACACAATCCTATATGATATTTCATATATTACATATATGATCTATAAAGGATTTACATGATGCATAAAGGATTTACAAAGTAGGCATACACTGGCCACCTGTGGATTCAGAGGTGGAGAAATGCAAAATGGTGGAGTATGTGCTGGGAAGCTGGACGATCCAGTCAAAATCTGAAGGCCTGGAGCTCTTGGCAGAGTGTAATCCAAGTCCACTTTGGAAAGGCTGAAGGAACTGGAGATGAATGTCCAAAGCAGATGGCAAAGACCAAAGTTCCTCCAAAGAGGCAGGAGGGCAGATGTCTTTCTTTTTCCCCCTTCTATTTTTGCAAGCCTATTGGTTGGTGCCACACATAGCCTGGTTGGGCCTTTCCTCCTCATTTGGTGGCTTACCTGTCAATCATCACAGACACGTGCAGAATGTGCTCCACTGTCTGCTGGGTGTTTCTTAATCCATTCAAGTTGATGGCATGAGTATCTATCATACTTGGGAGGCCAATAATTTTGAGAACTCAGTGCCACTTTCAAAGGTGAGAGATGCTTTGGGAAACTGTGAGCTAAATCAGAGGGGTGGGTCAGGCCCATGAGAGAGCCAGCCTGTAGCCAGGAGAGGATCACTGTGGGCCTGGAGTCTCACTCCTGATCCCTTCTCCTCCTCTGCTGCCACTTTCCTTCCCTCTCTCCCTCTGCCCTCGATCACATTCAAATCTCCATCTTTCCATGTAAAAAGCTCTAGCGTTTTTCATGAGTGTGAGAATAGTGAATTAAGTTTTCTATTGTTGTTTTAATGAATTATCACAAACTTAAGTAACTTAAATGTATTCTCTTCTAGTTTTGGAGGCCAGAAGCCTCAGGTGAGTCTTTGGTAGCCAAAGCTTGTGCTTGAGGACTGGTTATTTCTGGAAGCTCCCGGGAGATTTGTTCCTTGACTATCAGTTTCTAGAAACTGCTGGCAGTTCTTTGCCTCCTGGGCAATTGCTCCAGTCTCTGCCTGCCTTGCAGG